GATTGCTGGGAGCCACCAGAAGCCAGGAAGAGACCAGAAAGGATTCTCCCCTAGGTTCCTTCAGAGGGAGCATGTCCTGCTGATACTTTGATTTGGGACTTCCAGTCTCCAGATCTGTGAGAGAATAAACTTCTGTTCTTTTAAGCCACCAAGTTTGTGGTAATTTATACAACAGCCCTGGGAAGGTAAGAGAATACCCCAAACTTGAAATGCAAAATATGAAACTCAGATTGTTTAATTACCAGTTGAATTACAACTCAGATATCAAACCTAACATTCAAGCTTCATAAGCAATTATGTCAGACAGCTACAGGAAAAATAATTGTGTGGTTTAAAAAAGCAACAACAAAAATAAAGAGGCTATGATGTAAGATATATGTGATGACAAAAATCAAATAGCAGTCAACCAACATTTTTAAGGCTCAATTAAAATCAGCCTTACTTTCTATTTCATACCATTACCAACTTTATAAAAATACTATCAATAACATAGATAATTTATATACCAAACTCACTGTGCTATTAAAATATTTAATTATGTAATTAAATTATAATTACACAATTAAGTAACGATTAAAGGATCAATTATTCATTTGACTAGCAGTTTAATTGTTTCCACATAAAAAGATGTCTTTCTTAATCTCCTCTTGAATTTCTGTCTACCTCTGCCTTCCTGGGTACATTAGTTTTTATTAGAAATCTAAAATGTTTCACCGAAGTTCTAATAAAATAAATGAGGGCGGAGCGGGGCACGTGAAATCAACTGAGGAATAAACCAAAGACTCAGATTCTGGAAAAGGGTGGAAAGAGGGAGAGAGAGGAAAGCTGGGTAAAGCATACAGGACTATTGGAACAGGCATTAAAAAGAATATATTCAAATAATGAGTTCCATACTCTTCAGCTTACCACTCCGGGGTTCTTTTTCTTCTCCATGCCTAGACTGTGTCTTAGCTACACTGATGAGCCTGTTTCCTTTACTCTTTTTGACCCTGGCTTGCCCTACGTAGATGGCGCCCCACGATATTTATTGAATAATATGCCTGCACTTTCATAAACCAGCTTTTCCCCTACATTCACTACCCCCCCAACCCAATCTATCTTTTTGGCTTACCTTAATTTAATGGCAATAATGTAACCCTCTGTATGAAACAAATGTGCAGTACAAACTCAAATTTTCTTCTTAAAAATCTCCCTATCATAGCTTAATGTTAAGTGTGGGCTCTGGAGTGTGACTGGCCGGATTCAACTTTCAGCTCCACACATACTAGCTGTGGCCTTGGCTGAATGACTTAGCCCATTTGTGGCCTACTTTCTTGACCTTAAACTAGAAATAATGAAACTGCACACCTTAAGCCTTTAGTGAGAATTAAGTGAGACTAGGCCCTGGCTGCGTATGTACAGTGTGTAAGCACACACTAAATATTGTTGATTGATATTGTTACTATTCATAATTTTAAATGGTTCTCTATTAGGATATCTAGATTTCTCATCAAGCATAAATCTTACCTAAGAAAACCATTAGATATTCAAGAATCCACGTAAGGAGCAAATTGGTTCACCCATTTACATTCCTTGTTTGAGGAAACCTTAGCCCCCAAATATGTTTGGACATCTAGAATATAATATCACAGAGTAAGAACATACACATTTTTAACCAGCCAGTGTGGCTTAGTGGATTGAGCATCAACCCATGCACCAAGAGGTCACTGGAACGATTCCCAGTCAGGGCACATGCTTGGGTTGCAGGCTGGATCCCCAGTAGGGGGTGTGCAGGAGTCAGCAAATAGACGTTTCTCTCTGATCGATGTCTCTCTCTCTCTCTCTCTCTCTCTCTCTCTCTCTCTCTCTCTCTCTCTCTCTCTCCATCTCCTTTCTTCTTTCTCTTTAAATAAATCAATAAAACTTTTTTTAAATATAAATTTTTAAGTTGTTTTAAAGCTGGCAAATCCTAAGAAATTCCATCTACTCCCTTTCAAGCCTATCTCGTGATTCTTTATGAGTACCATTAAAAACCATGACCATATCAAATAAAGACTTTAAATCAAAAGAGAAAAGCTGGCCCTCACCACTACTCTTTAATTCTCTAAGCTGCCATCAAAGATAGAATGAGTTTCAAAGCACCTGCACCTGAATGAAGCCATTAAGCACTTTAGCTCTATGAGATAAAATTCAAAGTCCTCCTTTGGACATAAATCTGGGTAAGATTAAGTTTGCTTACAAGTACTTACACTTTAGGTGAAAATTATGTGTTAAAATCTAAATACCCAGGTAAGCTTATAAGTGGCAAGAAGCCACTTGAAAACTACGCTACTGTGCACAGTGCTTTCCTTTGAAATCTTCCTGCTGTTGACATTTTGTGAATAAGGAAATTGACCAAAACAGCAGAAAAGAGGCAAACTAAAATTAAAGAGTTGCATGGAAATTGCACAGGCCATGCTACTCCCTCATCAGTGTAAAAATGAACACATCGCAAGCATCTCCCACTTTCATCCTAAATATTTCAAGCTCTACCACTAGCCACACAGAGGAGTTAATGTGCACAGATTTCAAGAAGTAGTAATAGTGAAGGATTATGAGCATTGTTGATAGCTTTTGTTTTCACACATAAATAACAGAAAAACTAAGACTATGAAAGGTAGGAATGACAAGGCAAAAGAGAAACAAATAAGCAAGACTGACCCAGAATTTAATTCTTCTCCTTATTATAGGGTCATTTATATCCACAAAAATCACTCAGAAGTCAGTTTTTATTAGGAAAACCTCTAAGTATTTTATTCAAAAGAAAATGCAATGTCATTTTGTGATCAGTTCCTCCAGGCTTCAACAATCCCTGCTTCATTCTCTGATCTCCAGAGCAGTCAAACTCTGAGTTTAAGGACTCCTTGAGAAATGAAATCCACAATGTAGAGGTAGCCCCTGGATAACAGCCGCTTCACACAGTAAAGCCTTAAAAGCAGTTCTCCAGGCAGTCACAAACTATTTCTCCCTCTGGCATCATATTTTTTACTCAAACTCAAAACCATTAATATGTTCCTCTCAAATCATCTATAACCAATAATTCACCTAGCTCTGACAATTCTTTCTCTACCCATCATTTTTTGTCACTGCTTTCCAGTGAACCTGGGTCCTCATAATTTCAAATCTGCACTACTTTGAATGACTGATTTATCAGCCTCCAGGTTCCATCTTACCTAAACTATATCACATCTTAGTATCAGATTTATCTTTCTCATACATTCAGCTCAAAAGTCTTCAGAGGCTCTCCAACCCATGAAACAAGGTCGCAGCTACAGAGCCAGCCCTGCATTCTACAACAGAACTGAATCCTAGGGACAGTTCCTAAGTTTATCTCAAGACTTACCATGTGCCCAAGGGCCTTGCCTCACATCCAGGCAGTAAAAACAGATAGCTCATCAACAGCTTCCATGGACCGTACCTGCTTCTTCCTTGAACGTCCCATTGATGGGCCCAACTATCACAATTGGATCCGGTAATGTCCCTTAACAGGCACCAACAGCAAGGTTAGGTTGGCTAACTCCAAAGAGCAGGCTGCCTCTCAGTTTCATTTTCCTCGTACTTCTCTCTTGGCCTGGCATCTCTTCGTCACGCTCCTACTACTTAACTTTCAGGGTCTACCATAAGCAAATTCAATAGCACTCTTAACCTCGTCTCCCCAGAGCTCAATTGGAACTCACTGCTCCATGTCAGCCAGTGGCTTTCAATCTCATCAGACCCAATGCCCTCTTTATATAACAACTACTACAATGAAATGAAATCCATAGATAATAGGGTCTGTGTGCACACGTAATTTCAAATATTTTTAAAAGAATTTCAAATATATATCTATACATAAATGAAATGATATTTATACCTCACTGTAGATCAGCTGAAAAGCTGTGTTTCCTTCAGTACAAAAATAAACTGAAGTTTTATGTGAAGATGATTTGTACTTGCAAAAATGTCATCGAGGTAAAGCTATTAATACTAAAAGTTCTGAAACTGAACTTAAAAGCTCCCCCTAATAAAAGATATTTTATAATTTTGGTATAGAAATACTATGCAGGAAGTAATACAGCAAAAGAGCAATTGTATTTAATAAAAATTTAAAAACTTATATGTAACAAGTAACCACACTGAAAAGGAATTTTTAGAAAAGTGTCAGAATAGAAGAAAATACAACATAAATGATGTTCATATGCAAAGGGTATCTATAAGTCAGTAAGAAAAAGCAATAGAAAATGTAGTAAGGGATAGAACAAAGAAATCAAGAAAGAATACAAATTAGTAATAAGATAGTATGATCCACCCTTTTTAAAAAATATTTACGTTAGTCCTCACTGGAGGACATGTTTAGAGAGAGGAAGGGAGAGAGAGAGAAGGAGAGGGGGAGAGAGAGAAAGAAGGGAGAGAGAGAAAGAGGGGAGAGAGAGAAAGAGGAGAGAGCGAGCGAGAGAGAGAGAGAGAGAGAGAGAGAGAGAGAGAGAATATGAATACAGAAACATCAATCAGTTGCCTCCCGTACATGGCCCTGACTGGGAATCAAACCCACAAGCTGATCGGGAATTGAACACACAACCTTTTGGTACACAGGAGATGCTCCAACCAATGGAGCCACCCGGCCAGGGCTGATCCCTCATTTTTAAAAACTTTCCTTAAAAGTCATGACTATAGAGCAATGCTAGGTTAATATGTACCTTAGGAGCTCTGCAAACAAAGTCAGAAATATGAAATTCCTCAATCAGTTAGTGATCATCTCATCTTCAATACACAGCAGTTTGTTTGTCTCCCACACCTGAGTATGCAGCAGGATGGTCTCATTTCACTTAACATGACTTGATACGATTGTAAGAGGTACTACCTTTGAATTTCAGTTTACACATTCCAATAAGAGAGATAACCATATAATTTAAAAACTCAGCATATTCAGAGGTGCATAATATTTAAACAGTTACAGATATCATGCAAACACAAAAGCAAAGATAACAAGAGAAAATGCCTACCTTCCCTGATAGCTGTAAAAGGTGTACCTTCTTCTTCTTGCAGCCTGATCACCTTCAGGGCTACCAACTTCCCATTTACCCTGAAAAAAAAAAAAACGAAAGAAAGAAAAAATGAGAAGCAAATCCATAAAAATCTGCTGCTGTTATGGTTCTAATTTTCTTCCTTGCAATTTATATTTCTGCACTGAAAATGTCAGTGACTCAATTATGCCACCACAACATGATTAATTCCAGTAAGGCTGGGAATTCTATATCATCATCATAAATATTCACACTTTACTCCATTTTAAATATTCGCACTTGTATAGTCCAAAATTTAACGGAAGTTTTCTGATTCACTCTATGTTCCTTCCAGAAACTACTGCTTAATAAAATCACCATGCTTCATCAATTACTCTCAGATTAAATAAAAATCAAGTAGTCAAAATAGCTTTCTTTGTTTCTCCAGTAGCTCCTTTGTTTCTTTTGCTGAACTGCCTTAATCGTCAGTCCTAAACTGAGGTCACTCAATTCCCAAGGACAATTCTCTTTTCCTTCTTCCCTTCCTTCCCTTCCTTTTCCTTCCTCTCTCTCTCTCTTTCTCTCTCTCTCTCTCTCTCTCCCTCCTCCTTCTCTCTGCTTTTCTCCCTCCCTGTCAATATCAACCATTTCTCCTTTTCCTCAATTTTTTTCTTACTACAGAATCCTAGTTATATTTGGTCTGATTGTATTTTATAATACAGTGTATCATAAAAATAAAAATTATGAATATTTTACTATTACAAGATTACACAAGACCAATCTAAAGCAGATGGTTCTTCCAGAGGCATTCTAAATGTGTATCAGCTCTAATTAAAAGTAAGAATGCACTAGGCAGATAACTTTTATCCAGTCAATTCTGTTAACAAAGACATGTCTACCTATATTAGTCTTCTAGTTGAATATTCTACTTTCTACCTTTACTGGGCCTAGCAGCATATTTTAGTAATTAAAATAGGTAAAACATGTGCACATTAAAAATTTTGTAAGAGACAAGAAAGCATTTGATGAAAAGGAAATCTCTCTGCCACACCCTCCCTCGGCCACCCAGCTCCTATTCTCTGAGGTTACCACTTATCATTACACACACACACACACACACACACACACACACACACACGTGGCAAAAGTAGGCTTACAGTTGTTCGTATAGAAAATAATGTAATAGTAAATAATAATACAAGAATAAACTCTGGACGGAGAAACCAAAATGACAGCATAGGTAAACATCAGAGTTTGCTGCCTTGCACAACCACTTCAAAAATACAACTAAAAGACGGAACGGACATCACCCAGAACCACAGGAGGGCTGGCTGAGTGGAAATTATACATCTAGAAGGAAAGAGAAAAGCATACCGAGACTCAGAGGAGGTGTGGTGTGGAAGTAAAATACTAAGGTACAGAGGCGAACGTGGAGCGGGCTGGCGGCTGAGGGCGCGGTTGTCTTTTTCAATTGGGAGGGAGTCTCAGGCTCTGACCTCCAGTTCCGGGCAAGTCTCTGGGGACCTAGACTCATACAGGAGAAGCGGGACTGTCTGGCATCGGTTGGAACTCGAGGGCAGCTTTCTCTCGGAGGTACCTGCAGCAATTGCTGGGACACTGAGAAGTGGGGCCTCTGAAGGCAGGACTGAGAGCAGCCATAACTGCTCGCTCCACCCACCCTGCTGATCCCTTGGGACCCGCCCCCCGCAAGCCTTGCATGGAGGCGTTTGCTGGATAGCCTCAGCCAGAGGCTAGATTAGCACCTCCCTAAAGCTCCAGGACAGAAGTTCTCCCACTGCAGACACAGCTGATTCTCACAGCCAATTGGCCTGGAGGTCAATCCCTCCCACTGTTACTTACAACAATCAAAGCTTAACTACAACAAGACTGTGCACAAAGACCACAAGGGGGAGCACCAAGAGTGTCCTCCTCAGCTAATTGGGGAGGCTGAACCACTGGGCCCTAGAGGACACTTAGCACAGAAAACCACTTTATCAACACAAGGAAGCATAAAAAATGTGGAGATAAAGAAACGGGACACAAATGACAGAAATGGAGGAAAGCAAACTGCTGGATATAGAGTTCAAAACCACACTTTTAAGGTTTTTCAAGAACTGTCTAGAAGCCGCCGATAAATTTAGTAAGACCCTTGAAAAGACTGGTGAGACCGCCGATAAATGTAGTCAGATCCTCAAGAAATCTAGAGACCCTCAATGTTGTGATAAAGGACCAACTAGAAATTAAGCATACACTGACTGAAATAAAGAATATTATACAGACTCCCAACAGCAGACCAGAGGATCGCAAGAATCAAGTCAAAGATTTGAAATACGAAGAAGCAAAAAACACCCAACCAGAAAAGCAAAATGAAAAAAGAATCCAAAAATACGAAGATAGTGTAAGGAACCTCTGGGACAGCTTCAAGCGTGCCAACATCCGAATTATAGGGGTGCCAGAAAAAGAGAGAGAGCAAGATATTGAAAACCTATTTGAAGAAATAATGACAGAAAACTTCCCCTACCTGGTGAAAGAAATAGACTTACAAGTACAGGAAGCACAGAGAACCCCAAACAAAAGGAATCCAAAGAGGACCACACCAAGACACATCATCATTAAAATGCCAAGAGCAAAAGACAAAGAGAGAATCTTAAAAGCAGCAAGAGAAAAAAAGTCAGTTACCTACAAGGGAGTACCCATACGACTGTCAGCTGATTTCTCAACAGAAACTTTGCAGGCCAGAAGGGAGTGGCAAGAAATATTCAAAGTGATGAATGCCAAGAACCTACAACCAAGATTACTTTATCCAGCAAAGCTATCATTCAGAATTGAAGGTCAGATAAAGAGCTTCACAGATAAGGAAAAGCTAAAGGAGTTCATCACCACCAAACCAGTATTATATGAAATGCTGAAAGGTATCCTTTAAGAAGAGGAAGAAGAAGAAAAAGGTAAAGATATAAATTATGAACAACAAATACACATCTATGAACAAGTGAATCTAAAAATCAAGTGAATAAATAATCTGATGAACAGAATGAACTGATGATTATAATAGAATCAGGGGCATAGAAAGGGAATGGACTGACTATTCTTGGGGGGGTAAAGGGGTGTGGGGGATGCGGGAAGAGACTGGACAAAAATCATGCACCTATGAATGAGGACAGTGGGTGGAGAGTGAGGGTGGAGGGTGGGGTGGGAACTGGGTGGAGGGGAGTTATGGGGGGGAAAAGAGGAACAAATGTAATAATCTGAACAATAAAGATTTAATAGTAATTTTAAAAAAAGAGCCGAAACCGGTTTGGCTCAATGGATAGAGCGTCGGCTTGCGGACTGAGGGGTCCCAGGTTCGATTCCGGTCAAGGGCATGTACCTGGGTTGCGGGCACATCCCCAGTAGGAGATGTGCAGGAGGCAGCTGATCGATGTTTCTCTCTCATCGATGTTTCTAACTCTCTATCTCTCTCCCTTCCTCTCTGTAAAAAATCAATAAAATATATTTTAAAAAAAAAAATAAATAAAATAAAATAAAATAAAATAAAAAAATAAAAAAAGAATAAACTCTGGCCCTGACCAGTGTGGTTCAATTGGTTAGAGCATCACCCCATGCACCAAAAGGTTGCTGGTTGGATTTCCGGTCAGGGCACATACCTGAGTTGCAGGTTCAATCCCTGGTTGGGGCACATATGAGAGGCAACTGATTGATGTTTCTCTCATACATCAATGTTTCTCTCTCTCACTCTAAAATCAGTAAAAATAGCCCTAACCAGTTTGGCTCAGTGGATAGAGTGTCGGCCTGCGGACTGAATTCCCAGGTTCGATTCCAGTCAAGGACATGTACCTTGGTTGTGGGCACATCCCCAGTGGGGGGTGTGCAGGAGGCAGCTGATTGATGTTTCTTTCTCATCAATGTTTCTAACTCTCTATCCCTCTCCCTTCCTCTCTGTAAAAAAATCAATAAAAAATATATATTAAAATAATAATAAATAAATAAAAATAAAATCAGTAAAAATATCCTCTGGTGAGGATTTTAAAAAGATATTATAAACTCTGTTTCAGGTACTCACAACCATAAATCTACTTTTGTCGGCCCTATATACACACACATTAAACCACACACATATACACATAGAATACATATACATATACAAATGGTAGTATGCATACGGTATAGTTTTTATCAGTTAATAAATTCATGAAAAACTATATCTTGCTTTTTAAAGACCACAGGGTGTTCCTTTGCATGACTGGTACATACTTAATTCAATCCCTGTTGATAGGCGTTTTGCACGTTCCCAACTTTTTGCTACTAAAACAATGATGCAATAAATATTCCTAGACATGTAATTTCATCTATTTAAAAATAGGTCTGTAAGATAAATTCCTAAAAATGAAATTTCAAGATCAAAATGTATGTGCATTTCTAAATTCTAATTCTTATGAACGTTGGGAAATTATCCTGCATGGAGTCTATATCAATTTGCATTTCCTACAGCAAATGATGAGAGCTTCTGTTTCCCTTCCCTTCCCCTATCCTATGTTATCAACCCTTAAATTTGTCAATCTTATAGATGAAAAATGGTTTTTCATTGCCATTTAAATTGCAACCAAAGATCTTTCAAGGTTATGGAACTAGCAAAGGAAAATTGAGTCTGAAATAAAGAATCTGAATGTCTTTTTTTAAAGAACTGGATCCATTAGATAGGTTTTTGCTCAAAAAGCTGCCACAGACTCTAAACTCAAAAGGCCAAGGCATTTATCACAGCCAAACCATTCCTACTGGCATTCCTCATGAAACTCACTGTGGGAATGAATACATTATGGGTTACAGTAATCAAATAAGGAGATCGGATTATAAGGTTCCATGATGTGCCATCTACATGGTGTTTATTTTTCCTTGTGTTTCAGCTGGGAGGTCAGATCTGCTACTTTTCTGCCCTGCATATTTCCTCTCTGAGTATATTACTTAAGCATTCTCCCCCTAATTGTGCTCTAGGTACCCAGATGCAGGCAGAACATTAATATGCACATGTGGTTTAACTGGAGACTGTACCCTGTGCTCTTCCCTTTGTCCGTTAGGACTAAGG